GTACATTTATGTTAAATGCTTTTTGTATTCATGTACATTATGTTAAAGCACTTATGCTAAATGCTTTTATGCATTTATATTAAATGCTTTATGTATGATCTCAAACTTTGCAGCAGCCCTGGAGAATTATGTATTTTCCCGGTTGAACACGTAAAGATAGAAGAGGTTTACGTAAACTGTCCAAGGCCACAAAGCAAGCAGTTAGCAGAAGCCCCGTTTGAATCCAGCCCTGGCTCTAGCATGTGCTTTGGTCTTCATGGGTTCTGACACTGAGGCTTGGGGTGGGGATTTGGGGGGCGGGGGTGAGGGGAGAAGGATAAAGATAAAAAGGGCACTGAGATAAGGGAACCAGTCATTATTTGGCCAGTCATCTTTTCCAGAAACTCTCGCCAACTGCCCCTTTCCTGCTCCTGTTATCACCAGCCAGTTGCTGGCTGGGCTGGGCTGGGCTGGGCCGGGCCACTCTACTGAAATCCTTCAGAGCTTTCCTGTTCTAGAGTTTGCAAGAAGGTGGGCGGAGTGTTTGTGTGCTGGGCAGGGTTCCCAGGGGTGATTGTGGAAAGGAAGGGGAGTGATTTTTAGGGCCCTAAAAAGAAGCCAGGGAGAAGAGGAAAAAATAAAACCTGTTTAAAAGAAAACAAATTTGACTCAAGCATTTTCTGGCATTATCTTTAGTCTAGACTTGGAGGTGGAAGCCCAGGCCAGAAGTCTGGAAATTGTCCTTTTTCTTGCTGTATAACTGTGCTTCCTAATGACCCAAGACACATCATTACAACAGCCTTATGGCCACATACCAAAAACAGCCCAGCCACACATCACGTAATGTCCTTTTTCATTCTTTTCTTCCCTCACGGGGTACCAAGGCAATAAAAGCAAATCCTGTGCACGTTTTATGTGAACGTGCACATTTGTTTTCACACCAATATCTCATTTGCCTTCTTGCTATTCTTCCTACGAATTCTTGCTATTTTGTTTTGCTAAAATCCCCACTGCCTTGCTATGACTGTGGAGCCATGCCCTGGATGGTGGGGTTGGAGGAGGTGCAGAGAACTAAAGGTAGAAAAGGGACAACGTCTCTTACTCAATCTACTTTAGGAAGGACCTGGTATTTGCTGAGTGTTCAGCGTTCTCTTTAGAGAGGAAATAAACTAGAGGTCAGATGTATTTAATTAGACCGTTCATCTCTTGCGTAGACTTCATACTTTGCAAAAGTGTTTATGCATGTGTGTATATGTTTTTAAATTCACTTATCATATATCACCCATTTAAAGTGTACAAGTCATTGTTTTTTTAGTATATTCCCAGGCTTGTGTACCCATCACCACCATCTAATGTTGGAATGTTTCATTACGTCAGATAGAAACCCCAAACTCATTAGCAGTCACTCCCCATTTCCACTCCTCCATCCCGCCCCCATCCCCGGACAACCACTAGTCTACTTGCTCTCTTTATGGATGTGCTGATTCTAGACATTTCACATAAAATCATTACAGTCTGTAACCTTTTATCACTCACTTCTTCCACTTAGCATAGAAGATCCACTCGTGGTGTAGCATGTAGCAGTGCTTCATTCATTTGATGGCTGACTAATATTCCGTTATGTAGCTACATCACGTTGTTTATCCGGGCTCTGCCTCAGTCATCACACAGTCTTCACTCCCCATATGTCTCTGTCTCTGTTTGGTCTTCTTATAAGTATATCCATCAGTGAATTAGCACCTGCCCTAATCCTTATGACCTAATGTTAACTAATTAGATCTGGAAAGACCCTATTTTTGAACAAGGTCACATTCTGAGGTTCCATGTAGACATGGGTTTTGGGGGACCCTGTTCAATCCAGTATAGACCCTAAGGAATAGCCACCTACATTCAGGTAGAAATCTTTTAAAGTAGCAAGGAGAAGTGAGATTTTGGCAAGGTTTAGCACCAAAACAGCTTTGAAAGAATTTTTCTGAAGCTGCAGGTCATTATGGAGCTGACTGATTTCATGGACATGGTTTATCTTGATAGAATGGAATTCCGAGTGAGCCCAACTCAGTGTAACCCCCACTTCATCTTATTAGCAGAAACAAGCATATTTGGTTTGGTGCTAGTGAAAATTCTTTTATTCATTCAGCAACTATATATTCATTACCCACAGTGAGCTGAGACTATTTTAGGCACCAGGATTACAGAAATGCCCAGTACACATTTTGAGGACTTATATCATGCCAAATTGTCTCAACGCTTTATGCATTTGATGACCATCCTCTGTTAACTTGTGAATAAGGAAACTGAGACTCAGAAGAGGTGAAATGATTTCTCCAGCTCTGCAAGTAAATAGTCAGGGCCCTGGCGGTGAGAACAGGTCACTCCTCTTTTATACAGACCCACAACCCTAAGCATGCAGTGTAGGGGGCACGTGGGATGTATGGGGTGACAGGCAAGATAAGTAGATTGTGACAGAATGGCCTTTCTTGTTGGACTTGGGAACCAGGACTTAACGCAGAAGGCAGTGAGGAATCGGTGAGTGGTATGGAAGGAGCATGACCTCATGCTATGTACTTCATTTTTTTTTTAATTAATCAGCATGTATTTATGGAGTTGGGTCACATGCTGGGCTTGATGCCAGGGATGAAACTGTGTGAGAAGAGACAGAATCTGCCCTCTCTGAGTTTACAGCCGAATATATGGGGTGACAAGAGAGAACAGTTACTGTCTTCCTAAAATTCTCTTTGAAACACAAGAAGGACTGGTCAGAAACAAGGTTGAGGAAATAAACAGGAAAATGGTTTTAAGAGGAGAGTGCTCCGTAGGCATCCTGACGGTAACAGGGATCCACTGAAGAATTTGAAGCCAGGCAGTGACATAACAACGTGGTGTGGTTGTTGAGAAGCAGACTCCTAGATAATGCCTAGGTTTCTGGCTCCAAACCAATTGGATGGTAATGTTGATGTACTTCACGGAAAGGGAGAACATAGGAGGAGGATCATGGAACTTGACCTACAGATGGGACACCTGAATGGAGGTGCCCAGCAGGCAAAGGGTGATAGGACGAGAGCCTTTGATAGAGAACTGAGCTAAAGCCTGATTTCTGAGAGTCGTCATCACCTGGCTGGAGAAGACTACCCCAGGGGAGTTTCCTGAGAAAGCGAAGCTATAGGAGGGTCTGGGGTGGAACCCTGAAAAAGGCCCCCACTGAAGGGGTGAAGGGGTCCAAAAAGACCACGGGAAAGGTAGAAATGCCCCGAGGTTTTCTCTTTGTGCCTTCCCTGTGTCTTCTCAAGCAGCAGCTGTGTTTGCTCCTGGCGCCATGGCTACCCCATCGCTGAACATCCTCACCCCCATCCCTCTGCCATTAGAGAGTTCATCTTGCAAATCTAATGGAGTAATGAAGCCATTGATTCAGTTAACAAACATCCAGTTCACTACAAGACCTGTAATGGGAATTCATGGCAGAGGTCAATATAGCTGTCGATGGAACAGTGTTTCCCCAGAGGCCCATGGCTTTCTCTGCTGGACGCTGGCAGAAGTGGTTCTGCCTAGCATCAGTGAAGCCTGGAGAGTAATTAATCCGATAGAGCACTAATGAGCTAGTGATCCTCCCTGGGGCCATGAGGAGGCTCCTAAAATAGGTCAGATAACGGGGAGTAGAAACAGAGTGTGTCCCCCAGAAAAGATTGGAATAGCCCTAGCAAGCCACCATCACCAGCACTGAGCCATCACACCCCACTAGCTGTCACATCGCCAGAAATTACATATTTAAACCTTTATCTCTCTTGAACAAGAAGTTTCACTGTGGAAGGATTGTATGCCAAATGAATATATTCTCTTCTTCCACAAACTCAGACCAAGAACTTTCTGTGTGCCTGGCCTTTATTGGGTAAATCCTGGGACCGTAGGCATAACCACGTCAGTTGCTGTCTTAGAGACTCATGGGCTAGGCAAGGAGGCAGGAGGACAGTGGATATAATGAAGCACGGGCCAAGTGCTATTGGCAGCCAAAAAAGGACTGCATCCAGGAAGGTTTCAGAGAGAATATGATATCCGTGTAGGGTCTTAAAGTCTGCGTACAAGTGCCAGTAGAGGAGAAGTGAAATCCAGGCAGAAGGAACAGCAGAAGCCCATAAGAATCACAAAAGGGGCTGGTGTGCCTAGGGACTGATGAAGCTTCCAAATGCCTCGGGTCCGGGAGGAGAAAAGCAGGAAGTAGGTGAGACTGTCAAAGGCCTTGTGTGTTAGGCTCAGGAACCAGGAAAAGGCTTGGAGAAGCAGCCAAATGAGTAATACCCTTGGCTTGAGGGGTGGGTAGCACTCTCAGCTGTGATCTGACTTTAATACCCTGCTTCTTTTCTAGCACAGCACAGGGGGAGTTTAAAATGAGAGTTAAGGGGAAAAAGACCAATCAACTCAGAGCTGCAGGCACAAGAATTGGGGAATGGGGACCATTGTTGTCCTCAAGAGGGCTTGGAAGGACAGTCAGGAGGAGCTGGGACCAGTCTTATGGGACTGTCCGCTCCAACTACATTTGTGCTTTTATCACTAATGTAGTAAGGCACAGTCCAGGCTCTGACTTAATGAGTCTTCAGGAAGCCAAGCTCATCTAACAAAGCCGGCCCTCGCTTTGACGGAGGTGATGACGGCAGGAGCCTCCAGAGAGGAGGAAAGCGGTGGCACTTAACTGCCCCAAGGGTGTGAGGGCCAGAGTCACACTCACTCTGCGTGCCCTGGGCAGCTATACACCTCCTGGTAGCTGAACACCCTCAAGGTTATGACACGGAGCAGCCTCCAGGTGACTCCAGGAGCAGCCCTGAGGGACAGGACATCTCCTTTTCCACCAGGAGGCCACAGCCCTCCTCTCCTGGAGGCAGAGAAGGAGCAGGTGTGTGACGGGGAGAGAAGGCTGCTGCTGGAACATTGCCTCTGCTCTTAATATCTTTGCCTCCTCCGACAGCCCACTTTGGGATGAGGACACCTTTCCTCCCCTTTTCAGTCACAGAGCTTCTTCTTTTGTTCCTCAGACTCCCTGAGAAACCTCTCCTCCGCCAGTCACGGCCCCCGCTCCTCTCCAGCTGAGCTCAGCAGCTCCAGTCAGCACCTTCTCCGGGAACGGAAGTCCTCAGCCCCATCGCACTCCAGCCAGCCCACCCTGTTCACCTTTGAACCCCCGGTGTCCAACCACATGCAGCCCGCCTTGTCCACCAGCGCGCCTCAGGAGTATCTCTACTTGCACCAATGCATCAGCCGGAGGGCTGAGAACGCCAGGTAGGAGACTGCCATGAGCACGGGGCCTGGAGGGGTGGGATCGGACGCCCACGCACAGGACTCAGGGCTTGCAGTCCTACTGCTTTGAATTTTCAAGACAAGGGAGTAAAATATTTTCTCTTCTCAGGCAAACAGACATATTTATTAGCAAAGCAGCATTCTTTTGCTGAGGGAACCCTCACATCGTCCTGGCATCCGCTATGTTGCTCTACAGTGATAATTAGATTCCAGAGGAACCTCCCATTATCAAAAATCACACTACAAAAATGTTCTGTTTAATCTGAGGGAAGAAACACACTAGGGACTAGAGTTTCAGAATTGGAAAAAAAAAATTCCATTTGCTTGTTGGCAATAAGAGGATAGCTCTAAAGTCTTACCGTATTGAAATATCTATCTCTCACTTTTGCTCTAGAGCTGCACTGGTCTGTGTGGTAGTAAACTATACACACGTGGCTATTTAAATCTGAATGGGTTCAAATGAGATAAAACTTAAAATGAAGTTCCTCAGTTGCACTGGCCACATTTCAAGCACTCAGCTGCCACATGTGGCTAGTGGCTACCCTAGCAGACAACACAGATAAGGAAACATTTCATCACCACGGAAAGTTCTAGAGCAAAGACTCTCTGCTCTAGAATAACAATCTCTGTAGTTCTAACACCACTAGCTCTCACAGATGTGGAGCCTGTATGTATTTTTACTACCTTTTATTCCCCTTGTTAGGGTGAATGAAAGTACGGAGGTGATGGGCTTTGCCAGAGCCAGTTCCCAGTTCCTAGCATGGCCAGCAGATGACGAATCATGTTTCTCAATTAATTAAGAAATATCTAACTTGTGTTATGAAAACTAAGGCAACTAGAGAACCGACTGTATTAGCGTATCACACTTTAGAACATTCTCAAGCAGAACCTTACTCGAACCCAAATGCACGGAGAGCCAGTAGAGATCATTTCTACCCATTTCATAGATGAAGAAAATGAGGCTCCTGCTAAGCATGACAGAGGCAGGACTGGAACGCAGGGCTGCTCGTCTCCAGGCCTATACTCTGTACCATGTTACCCTCCTTTTGGGACCATCACACAACACACGCTCCCAGCACTCTCTTAAGGTTGCTGCAAATATCCATTTTCCTGACGCCACGGGATTCATTTATACATGAATTTTCACTAGTTCAGACTCCATCAGCGTAGACAGGTAAAGCCCAGATCACCGAAGGTGTTTGTGGCAGTGCCGTAAACATGCTGACCCTCCCGGCCAACGTGCCTGCCCACACTCGTGACTAAAATTGTTTACAGGCCTTGGAGTCTATCAGATACGGCTCCAAATTCAGGTCCTGCCACTTTCTTTGTGATCTTGGGCCACTTACTCTTTGAGTTTCTGTTTCCTGATCTGCAGACTGGAAATAACCCTTTCTAAGGCTTCCTGCTGAGCACAGGGGCAGGAGGCCATCCTCAGTACGTAGGAGCCTTTGTGCTCCTCGGGCCCCGCACCCCCAGCTTCTCGAGTCCCAGCTCAGAGTAGAGAAGGTGAGGTCTTAAACTCATCATTCTGTGGAAAGCGTACTTTCTGTGAATGCCTCTCGCTCTCAAAGTGCATAGGAAATCTCTGGGGATCTGGTTAACACGCGGATTCTGATTCAGTAGGCCTGCAGTGGGTCCTGAGATCCTGCCTTCCTGCTAAATTCCAGAGCTCATCTGCAGATCACACATCAAGTAGAAGGCTTTATGTAATCATAACAGCTACCACCACCTCCACCCCCATGACACTGTAAGAGCAGCAGAGAAGAGCTATGACAATGTCTCTGCTTGAATTAGCAGTTGGGGCCCACCGTCTGCACCCCCTCCTCATTGGAAAAACCTCTGTTAACTTGCCTGAAATCCATGTCTCTGAATTCCCACAGCTGCTTTTTATTCTCTCTCTCTCACACAGCGTTTGGAACTCTCTGCTTCATAGTATGGATATTTATACTAATATATGACTGAACTTTGAAGACAGGACCAAGGGCATGTAGTAGGTACATAAACTACATGTGAACAGATCTGTGTTATAGAAAGAGAACGTAGCAGGGGAGACAGAACTGATATGCAGTTGGGGAAGCAGCTTTAGTGTGGGGCCCTGACCAAGCTGTGCTTTTCTGTGTGTCTTTGCTTTCACTTGTGTGGGTGTGGGAGCAGGAGAAGGATGAGCAGGATCTTGGAGATTTGGGGGAAAAATAAATTCAAACAACATTAACAGAATTCCTGAGTAATGGAGGGTGGGAAGGAAGCTTTCTTTGGTCCAGAAACACCATATAATTTCTTGAAGTACTGGAGTGGTTTGCCTGATACTAAACATAACAGTTATAAACTCTGGACACAATATAAAAAAACAACTGTGTGAAGGCACTGAAGAGCAATCAAAGCAGGCAGAAACTGAAAGAGATTTAACTCTTAAAAGGAGCTAGGAGAGGGGGCACCCAGGAGGCTCAGTAGGTTGAGCATCCCACTCTTGATTTCAGCTCAGATAGTGATCTCAGCATCGTAAGATTGAGCCCTGCTTCGGTCTCCATGCTGGGTGTGGATTCTCTCTCCCTCTCCCTTTGTCCCTCCCCTGCTTGTGTTGCATTCCCTCACTCTCTCTCTCTCCCAAAAAAAAAAAAGGTGCTAACAGCATGGAAAGACATCAAGTGTGTTGATTGCTTTAATCTGTGGTATTAAGGGTGGGGTTGTATATATAGTGAAGAGACGGTGAAAATTAGGAGAGAGAGACTCTAAAATGTCACTGGGGAGTGCCAGCCCATGCGTGGTGGCAGAAGCCCACTCCAGGCTGCCCTTCCCACTGATCACAAGTAGATACTATGGACAAAATACAATTGCCCTGTAATTGTTTTGATTCTATAAAAATAAAGTGAGGCAACTTATAAAGGGAAGCAAGATGTGGAGACGACAACAATATAGAGGTGAATCCTCTGTATCTTGTGGAATTGCCCCGAGGTGGGGCCCACTCACTTCGCAGCACATCAGAGCAGACAGCTGAAAATGTGATAGAAACCCCATCTTTCTTGGTCGAGGAACCAGAAAAGGAGGCCTTTGGGAGCTGGAAGGGAGTGGAGTACCCAGAGTGAAGAGAGCTGGAGAAGGGATTTCCTACTTCTGGGTCTGGAACCACACGAGTTTCAGGTTCACTGTGAACTGCACACGTGTGGGACAGACCTGACCAGTGTAACAAGGGCCTTGTGAGCTGAGCTGAGGTGTGCACTGCCACACATGGGAGGAGAGACCGGACTTGCAGCCTGAATCTAACCACAGTGATTGCCAGCAAAACGGAAACCTCGACGTTCTCCAGAGGATTATAACAGAACCCAGCATCTACACAATGTAATAGCACAATACTAAAGCTATATAATCCAAAAATCCTCAAAATGTAACCAGTTCTCAAGGGAAAGCACAGATGCCAACCCCAACATAACCTAGATGTTGGAAGCAACATCTTCCAATTTTAAATTTTTAAATGTAAATGTAAAAGCCTGTATTATAACACTATTTCATAAAAATGAATAGAAAGAAAAGAAAAACCCATAAGTTTATATCCTGAAGAATTATCCTTTAGGAATGAAAACAAAATCAAGAGCTTTCCAAATGAGAGGAAAACAAGAGAATTTCTGAGAGATCTCATTTAAAGAAGTGATAAGGAAGTTCTTCACGCTGAAGGAAAATAGTACCAAGAGGAAACTCAAACCTTCAGGAATGAGGGAAGAGCAGCAGAAATAGTAAATATCTGCATAATTTTCCTGCCTCAGTTCGTTATGTGACTGTTGAAAGCAAATATTAAACATTGCCTAGTGGGGTTTTCACCTGGTTTCCTCTTCAGTGTGACAAGCTCCCTTATCATTTTTTACCATATGAGTCCCCTTGTGACATATTTTCCCAGTTTTCATTAATCTGGAAATATCTGTATTTCACCTTCATTTTTTTTTAAGATTTATTTATTTGAGAGAGAGTGAACATGCATTGGGGGACACGGGCAGAGGGAGAAGGACAGAGAGAGAATCTCAAGCAGATTCCCCACTGAGCACAGAGCCCAACTTGATCTCACGACCCCAAGAGCACGACCTGAGCAGAAACCAAGAGTCAGTTGCTTAACCACCCATGCCACCCAGGTGTACCTAACCTTCATTTTTGGGAGATATCTTGCTGGATATAAAATTCTGGAATGATGGCTTTATTTTCTTCAGGCATTTTATAGGATGTCATTCTATAATCCTTTGCCCTTTGTTGTTTCTGTTGAGAGGTGAGCTATTATTTTTATTGTTAGAATCTTATATGTAATGTACCTTTCTTCTTCTAAATGTTTTTTTTCCCCTCTTTAAAAAAAAAAAATTGTGGTGAGGGGCACCTGGGTGGCTCAGTGGGTTAAGCCTCTGCCTTTGGCTCAAGTCATGATCTCAGGGTCCTGGGATCGAGCCCCGCATCGGGCTCTCTGCTCGGCAGGGAGCCTGCTTCCCCCTCTCTCTCTGCCTCTCTGCCTACTTGTGGTCTCTGTCTGTCAAATAAATAAATAAAATCTTTAAAAAAAATTGTGGTGAAATAACATAAAATTTATCCTCTGAGCTATCTTTAAGTGTACAGGTCAGTTAGTGTTAAGTACTTTCACATTGTTGTGAACTCTTTTCATCTTGCCAAATTGAAACTCCCACCCATTAAAAATTCCCCGTTTCCCCCTTCCCCTACTTCCCAACACCTTCCTTTCTACCGTCTGCGTGAATTTGACTTCTCTAGATAACTCATATAAGTAGAGCCAGACAGTCCTTGTCTTTGTACGAGTGGCTTTTTCACTTAGGTTACTGTCTGTAAGGCTCATTCATGTTAGAGCACATGTCAGAACGTCCTTCCTTCTTACAGCTGAATCCTGCCTCATGGCCTGCTTATGCCACGTTCTGTTTGTTTCATCCATCAGTAGATAACCTTGGTGGTTTCCACCTGTTGGTTGTTGTGAATAATGCCGCTGCGAACTTGGTGTGCAC